GGGTAAGCAATCACAGACCCAAGGAAGGGGGTTTTAAAGCACTGTGGGTTTTGCTGACTTGCAAGGTTAAGAATCATTGCTGAATCATAAAATAACTAATTTTTCCCAGGGAGGCAGTGATGTTGTCTGAGACCTGAGAAGACCAAGAAAGAAACCTCATGTGGCGGTTTCTATGTTTCCCTCTTGCATTATTGGTATATTAGAACCAGTCCACTATCATCAATACCTAGTCCAGTGACAGAATAAGACCACTGCTGCCACTTTCAGTATTCAAAATAAAGGTAATAGATACTAACCTGAAATGATTTTTTTCTCAACCAGGAACTATACAAAATTATGTATATTCTCTTATTCAACGCTCCAAGAAACCTATGGAGGTAGCTGCCAAAATTATCCTGCATTTTTCAGATAAGGAAACTGAGGCAAGCCAGAATGTTATTTATCCTGGCCCTCACGTTCAATACGCACAGCAAGTTTTCTTCTTACTCTAACTCCAGTCTTATCTTCTACAAAATATTCCTCCTCAGATATATTAAGTTATACTTTTGGAAGGAAAGAACTGGGTTAAGGCAAGAAAGAAGAAAAGGAAGAGAAGAAAGTGAGGAAACAAGAGAGTAAGGGGGTGAGAATAAAGGAAGAGGGAGAAGGGAGGTGGAGAGAAGGAAGAGGAGTATGAAGGTAGAAACACAGACAGTCCTGAAGTCAACTCAGACCTCCTTTTTTTGCTAAATGTAAGGTTGTCTGTTTCTAATCACTTCCCAGAGGTATATCTTATGTCTCTGTCCCCTGTGGGGTACCATCTTCCTGATCCTATTGGAGCACCACTCTTTCTTCTCTCCTAAGCAGGAATGCCAATGAGAGAAATTCCATTTTTTTTCTTTTCATTTCTTCATTCTTGGGTCACTGAGCCAAACAGAGGGGTTAAACATTTTCTGTGCTGTGCGAATCTCTTTTTGGAGGTGGCAGAATCTCATCTCCATGAATTGTTTCTTTCTGTTACCTCCCCTTGATTCACATGGAAATATGATGAAACAGTGCCTTCCAACTGTGTAGCCAATATAGAAAAATATGAATGGAGCTCAGTTTACACTGTTAGCTAAGGTGTGAGGGAAAGGTAGGGGGTTGGCCAGCTGGTCTGGGTTGTAGGTTTCTTTGGATCTGTGTCTTCCATGGTCTTTTTTCATGACTGGAGTGGTAAAATTTATAAAGCCAAGATTTGGATATATTCTGCAGTCCGGCTGCAGCAAAATAACCGGGGGGTGACGAGGAACTTGTGTAGATTGATACAGCAGGAGTGGGAGCCGTTTATTGTAGGACAGGAGGGGTATATATATATTCCACACAGCTTATCTTAATTAACATAAACTAGATACAGCAGTCCACCAATAAGGAATCTCCACACTTAATGGCTCGCTGGCGTTACTTCACAAACCACTTCCTCTGGCAAAATGCCAGGTGCCATCTTGACTTGTTTACAGACCCTAACAGATATGTCCTGCGTAAGGTACTAAGGCAGACTACCATCTTGCTTTTGATCTGGGCCACTCATATCTACCTGCCCAGTGTAAGTCAAAGTCATTCTCATTCCTCAAACTGGCATGGTTCTGTAATTCTGAAGTTTCCATATGGCGAGCAAGACCAGTGTCCCACAGGGTAATAAGACATGTGCATTTGCCTGGAGTGCACCTTTGACATATTTTATTTTGGAATCAAAATTAGCGGCATATGGCTTGTCAAATAATTCACAGATCCTGGGTCCTTGTCAAATATCACCTCTTCATGACTAACGGAGCCCTCCCTTCCCAGAGCCTGTAGTGAAGAGAGTCCTACCTAATCTCAGGAGCTCTGAGCACCAGTGATTACCAAAGTCCCCTGTGGCTAAACAACAATTTCTTTTGTAAGAGAGATAACAGGTTTCCAGGCAGGGTTTTACTTCCTTGAATTAGGGAAGATTTTCCAAGTCTCTCACCTTGGGAAGAATTCTGCTTCTATGATAGCTCAACCTTCAGACTCTGACACACCAGGATTCACTCATGAGTGTGAATAAAAGTTGCTTTTATAAATCTGTTTTCTTATCTCCAGATTGGGGATAATAATAGTAACATTTATAAACATTTTATGGGGACGAACTGCAAAAATTCCCAATGCATACTAAAAAGCAGTAGAACCATTTGAAATTTCACAAATTTAGACACCAAATCTAAAAACTAGGTTTTAGAGTTTTGACTTTATGTTGTGTTCCCTTCCTCCAAATCCTACCCCTTTTCAAATGATAAAGTTTGGATTCTCTAGGAAGAAGGCTCTCAGATGTAGTTTATTGTATAGTATGTTCAGATGGGGAGATTCTCAAGGCTAACCCTGATGCAAGGAGCAGGACTGAATGAAGGAATGAAACTGAGCAGCCTAGCTGTCCCTGAGAAACTTTGATCTAAAAGCAACACTGTGGTCTGACTTAATACCTTACCCAGGCTTATAGCCACTTTAGACCAGAGCATCTGATTGGCACGGTAACCTGATAACTGGGCCAAACAGACCAGGCTTTTTTACCTGTGCCTCAGCAACTACTGGATGTGGATGCTCTAGGAACACTGGTTTCCAGCCGCTGGTACCTTCCCTTGCTAGTTTTCATGACAAGAATGAAGGATTCCCTGTTGCATGATATTGGCATTACCTTCTCTAGGTCTCAAGGATAATATTTAAGAGGCTTTGCTGTTTACAAGTTCATGGTATCCCAAGGTAATTCGTCACAACCTAAACTACACATCCTGGTTTTATTGGCAAGCTAAAGAGCATCTATTCATCTATTCTTCTTGCCCATACCAAGAAAAGCATTTGCAGAAATATTTCACTTATTTTTTGAAAAAAAATTACCATTGCAGTGCCAGCAAGATAACAGATATTCAAGGGAATTTGTTGAAACTGAATATATGTGTGTGTTGTGTATACACACATACACACAAACACACACACACTTATAATTCAGCCCTTCACATTTGCAGGTCTTGAACTTGCAGATTCAATCTACCACAGGTTGAAAATATTCAGAAAAAAGTCACATCCGTATTGAACATGTACAGACCTTTTCTTGTCACCTTTTTCTAAACAGTATGAATAACATCTATTTAGATAATATTTACATTGCATTAGATATTAGAAGTAATATAAGGTGACTGAAAGCTCTGGAAGGATATATGTAGGTGATATGCAAATATTGCTACATTGTATATAAGGTATTCAAGCATCCTTGCATTTGGGTATCCATGAGGATCCAGAAACCAATTCTTTGCAAAGACTTAGGGATGATTCTGCATCTAAGCTGTTGTAATAAACAAATCTTCATGTAATCATATTGTGAATCTAATATCAATTCTATAAGCTAAATACAGACTCCTTCATCTTCATAATGATGCACTATCATTAATAGTGTTTAATTATTCTGCAAATATCCTTCAATTAATAAGAGGTAGTGCTGGAATTAGAGTCTAGAATCCCAGTGTGGTCTGCTTTCTATTATATCGTGCTTCTTCAAGGATTAACAAGTAAATTAATTTATTTTTAAACAAAAACCACCTTAGTAAAGTTTTTCACTATTGGTGATAGGTAAGGACAGTAGTCAAAAAATGACATTCACTTTTTCTATCCAGAAAATTACTGATGCTACTTCTATAGATTATAGTTGGGAACCCAGCAGAGAAAAATCCTATGTTATCATCACGGTTCAAGAAGGCTACAATATGAAAGAAGATGAGAAGTTATTAAAATACCTAGGAATTATTATTTAAATCTAAACTAAGGATCATGTGAATGGAGAGAATGACTGTCTCCTGCAGTGAGGTGCAGTAACATCCTGGAAAGAGCTAACTGTAGAATAGGAAAATCTAGGAATCAAGAAATTGACCTTGAGGAACCAGCCAATCTCCACTGGGTCCTTCATCTACAGAAGTACTAAAAGAGCTACAGTTCCCTGGACGACAACTCATGAAAGAGTCACCAGAGCAACATTTCTCAATCTTTTTGGCACCTTCCTGGGGATATTTTAAATAGCCTCATGCCCAAACCGTACCTAGAGTAATTAAGTCAGAATTACCAGAGGTAAGACCCAGGCTCTAGAGGTTTTTAAAGCTGTTCATAGGATGATAGTTTATAGCTAAGGTTGAGAGCCACTATTCTGGAAGTTAAATGTTCTCTTTTCTTCTTTTTTTTTCTCTTTTCATTTCTTACCTTCATTTTCCCTCTCTCATTTTCTCAGTTTTCTTTCTATTCTTTTAGAAACAGACTTGAGAATTTAATAAAGAGTCATGTATTATAAAGAGAAACTAAATGTAATTTCTTTCCCTACATTATTTTTATGTAGCTATATAACAATTTAATACAAAATTGGAGGCTTGAACCACCACCTATTTATTAGCTAACTATTTCGTAGTTCAGGAGTCTGACACAAATGTGAGTGGCTTCCTGCTCAGAGTAACACAAAGTTGAAATGGAAGTGACAGCTGGGCTGAGTTCCCTGGACACTGTGGGGAAGCTCACTTAGCCAACTACCTAGAAGCTCACTCAGATAGTTGGCTAGATCCAGTTCTGAGGGATAGGAGCCCTGAAGTCTCAATTTCCTTCCAGGCTGTCAGGCAGGGGATCTTCTCAGATCTAGAAGCTTCCTACAATTCTTGCCATTTGGTGTCCCCATTTCCAAGCTACCAGTGGTATATCAAATTCTTCTCCTGCTCAAATCTATCACTTCCACTTTTGTGACCAGCTAGAGAGAAGCCGTTGCATTAAAAGAATTCAAATAATTAGGTCAGGACCATTTGAAT